CTCGCCGCCGCCGATAGCGCTCAATTGGCGGATACCATCCCGTACCAGCCCGGCGGGGCTGTGGAGGGTGGACCTACCGCTGGTTGTCCAAGCGGCCTCGGGGCACCGGAGGCCCGCGAAATAACTGCGGAGGAGGCAGAAAGGGCGCGCTGGCTCCAGCAGGGAGCCAAGCCGAAATTCCCACTTTGCTCCACTCCAACGCTCCAGGGTGCCTGGTCGACGGTTTGCCGCGGTGGGGGGGCCCGGAGCTCCAGCCATCGATCTGCTCCATTTGGCCTCCCACTCACCAACCGTTTCGCGCTACTGGAGAAGGACTTCCCTCCGCTGACGGCCTCTGGGCCCTGTAGCTCCACGCTACCATCCTCCGATTGCATCGAGCCGCCGCGGGAGCAGCTGTCGGACGCCGACGGCCATCCACGTCCCGCCCAGCCCTGGGCTGGAGCCCCAGCACGGCGAGGAGTTGCCACCCTCACCCCAAACCCACGGAGGGAGCCCTCGGCCCAGGAGAACCGCTGCAGTCCCCGGGAACCGCTGAACAACATCCAGCAGGTCCCGGACGGATCCTCTGCTCCAGCCGACCCGCCACCAAGGACCCTCATCATCGGAGATTCTATCATCAAACACGTCAGGATGAGTGGAGCCGTCACTCACAGTTTTCCCGGAGCGAAAGTCATGGACATTGCCAAACGGATCCCAGAGCTCATCCACAATCACCCAACAGTGAGTAAAATAATAATCCACGCTGGCACCAACGACACCCGCATGCAGCAGTCTGAACTCCTCAAGCATGATTTTATTCATCTTTTTAACTTGTTAAAAAGCACACATCTGTGTGTTTTTATCTCTGGCCCCATCCCCACGGTTGACAGAGGAACTGGACGCTTTAGCCGAATTTTATCTTTGAACACCTGGCTTTCTTCTGTCACTGTGCAGCACAACATTGCTTTTATTGACAATTTTAACATTTTTTGGGGCAGGAAGCATCTGTTTGGGCCTGACGGACTCCATCTAAATAGACAGGGTACCCACACACTTAAAATGAGCCTAGCCTGCCCACGACCACCTTTACCCACTACACCACCCCCAGCTACCCCCACGCCCCAACCTCCTCCCCCCACATCATGATGTCCCACTGGTCCAGGATCCTATGAACCCAGTTATGATTTTAACAGTAACCCACATATCGGACTTGGACCCTTGCACACCTCTCACATTCCTGTAATCAGCAGAGAGCGATCACATAAACATAAAACTAACCGGGCTAATCTTAATAATCTTAAACAGTTGTCAATAATCTCACCCCCAGTCAATCACACAGTCACTCCACCTTTAGTTACTATCAATATGGCTCTTTTAAATGTTCGCTCTCTGCTGAACAAAACTTTTATTATAAATGACCTCATTTTAGATAATCATCTTAAATGTGTATTTTTGACAGAAACATGGTTGAGTTCAGATGCTCCTGCTGTTCTCACAGAGGCCTCCCCACCAAACTTTAATTTTACTTATTCAATAAGAAACGGAAAAAAGGGAGGCGGAACTGCTTTTATAAGCTCATCTACACTTTCTGCAAAACATGTTTTATTTGATAACTACACCACATTCGAATATTGTGCAGCCTTTTTCAGCGATCTTCAGATTTTGTGTGTTACTCTTTATAGGCCTCCGAGGCACAGTGCACTTTTTATACAGGAATTTTCCGAGTTTTTATCAATTCTGCACAACTCTTTTGATAGTATTATTTTAGCTGGTGATTTTAATTTACACATAGATGACCCTGCAGACCCTTTTACCACTGAATTTTTAAACATTTTGAGTTATATGGATTTTACACAACATGTTGCACAACCAACCCACGACAGAGGACACACCCTGGACTTGGTCATCACATATGGTCTGTCCACCAGTGTGTCCTCTGTCGTGGATTTAGCGATCTCAGATCATTTCTGTGTGTTTTTTAGCATTACCAGCATAATTCAGCAGGAGACCTCTGTGAGAACTGTAATAAAACGCCATCTAACCCCTGAAGTGGCTGCTGGTTTTCTGGAAACTTTTAAAAAGATCCCTCCTATTAATTTAAATGCCCCCTGTGATTTTATCTTCAATGATTTTAACAGTAGACTTGAATCTACTCTGGATTTGCTCGCTCCACCTAAGATTAAAAAGCTACAGCCAAAACCGGCTTCCCCTTGGAGCAATGAAAACTTGAAAATGTTGAAAAGATCTTGCAGGGCGGCGGAGAGAAAATGGAGGAAATATGAGAACACAATTAATAAACAAATATACACGGAATTATTAAAATCATACAACAAAGCTGTTAGAAATTCCAGAAATAATTACTTTTCTAAAATCATCTCAGAACACAGAAATAATCCCAAAATTCTGTTTTCTACAGTCACAAATATTTTGGGTCGTGAATTTAGTTCTCTCCAGAAAACCCCCTCGGATGCTCTCTGTGAGGAGTTTGCAGCCCACTTCAGAGGGAAGGTAGACACCATCAGACGTAACATTTTTTCCACCCAATGTCATGCTGCTCCCGATCAATCTGAGAGTGTGTGTCTACCTGAGGAAACACTGGACAGTTTTGTCTTGGTTGAATCTGAGATTATTGATAAAGTTTTCTTCTCAGTGAGGCCCACCACGTGTGTTCTGGACCCTATCCCCACAAGGTTTTTTAAACAATTTTATGACTCATTTAGAGATGAGATTTTAACTTTGATGAACTGTTCCCTTCAGACGGGGGTCTTTCCTGCTGCTTTTAAACGGGCGGTGGTCAGACCCCTGTTGAAGAAGAGCAATTTAGATTTTAATGATTTTAACAATTTTCGACCGTATCCAACTTACCATTTTTAAGCAAAATTTTAGAGAAGCTTGTTTTAATACAACTTAATGATTTTATCAACCACCAACATGTCCTAGAGAAATTTCAGTCTGGTTTTAGGGTGAACCACAGCACTGAGACGGCCCTTCTGAAGATTTTAAATGATTTTAGAACAAATTATGATGCTCGGAGGGCAACAGTGTTGGTTCTGCTGGATCTAAGCGCTGCCTTTGATACAGTAGACCACACTATTCTTTTAACCCGTTTAAAACAGATCGGCCTCTCTGGTGTTGTTCACAGTTGGTTTACTTCCTACCTCACAGACAGGACTTTTATGGTGAGTCTGGATACCTGTTCCTCTGGGGTCCACAGCATCACATGCGGGGTGCCTCAGGGATCAATTCTAGGCCCAGTACTTTTTAACCTCTATATGCTCCCTCTGGGCAGCGTCATCAGGGGACATGGGGTGAATTTCCACAGTTACGCTGATGATACACAGTTGTACATCTCCGTGTCTCCTGATGACTCTCAGCCAATGGAAACACTTTTTAATTGCATTTTAGATATTAAATCATGGATGACTGAAAACTTTCTCCAGCTCAACCAGGGCAAAACTGAAGTTTTAGTCATCGGTCCTGAGGCCCAGAGAGAGAAACTTTTACCTAAACTACAATCAATGTCTTTTTATTCATCACTACAAGTGAAGAATCTGGGTGTTATTTTCGACTCTGAGCTGACTTTTATCCCCCATATTAAAAATATCACAAAAATAGGTTTTTACCATCTTAAGAATATCGCCAGAGTCCGCCCCATTCTCTCTCGGGCCAATACGGAGACGCTAGTGCATGCTTTTGTAACCAGTAGAATTGATTACTGCAATGCCCTGCTTTCTGGTCTTCCCAAAAAGAGCATCTCAGGTTTACAACTTTTACAAAACTCAGCAGCACGTGTCCTGATGAAGACCAGGAAGCGGGAGCACATCACTCCGGTTTTAAAATCACTGCACTGGCTCCCCGTATGTTTCAGGATTGATTTTAAGGTTCTTTTAATGGTTTTTAAGTGTCTTAATGGTCTTGGGCCTTCTTATCTTTCAGAACTGCTTTTACTGTATAAACCCTCGCGGTCTCTGCGCTCCTCTGGCAGCCGTCTCCTAGTTATCCCTAAAGTTAAGACTCACACCCACGGCGAGGCGTCCTTCAAGTATTACGGCCCTCGCCTTTGGAACGGGCTGCCGGAGGACCTCAGGTCCGAAGGGAACATCCAGGCTTTTAAGAATAGGCTCAAGACCCACCTTTTTAGCTTAGCTTTTAACTGATTACTATTTATCTATAAATACATATTTATCTCTTTTATTATTTTTATCATTTTATATACATCTTAGTGTTTTTATATGATTATGTTTTCTTTTACTATCTTTATAATCACTTTTTATCAGTTACTTTTTATCATTATTAGCTTTTATTATTTTATATGTTATATATCTTAAATCCTCCAGTGTTTCCTCTGCGGAGCCCTCTGCCTTGGGGCCGGTGGTCAGGGGCGGCGGCGGCCGGGGCGCTCCCCAGGTAGTGCCCGGGCACTGGTGGGGGTTTCTGCCCTACGCCACTGGGCGTCATGGGCCGGTGTCTTGGCTGCTGCCGTGGATCTGTTGCTGCCAAGGCAGATGGCTCCGCTGATGATGTGTCGTTCATTACCTGACCCATCTGAACTCAGCCTATTGTTTCCTCTGGTGTTCACGAGTGTGTGTGTGTGTGCGTGTGTGTGTGTGTGTGCGGGTGATTGTATGTCCACTTTGGAAGTTGGGTGCGGGAGGGGAACTGTAATTTTTAATTGTTTTATACTTGGGGAGGGGGGCTGGGATGGGAATGTGGGATCTATGGGGCCATTTTAATCTGTAAAGCACTTTGAGTTGCATTTTTTGTATGAAAAGTGCTATATAAATAAAGTTGATTTGATTTGATTTGGAGCAGAGTATTAGAAGAGCACTGTAGAATCAGAGAAAACACGGATAGTTAATGCACAGGGAATCAATTCTGGAGGACGTACGCCTCCCCCTACATCCAAGCAGATGCAGTCGCAAAGAGACTTGCTCATGATTGTAAAATTTGAACCCGTATCTAAAAGTGTGTTGCAGGGATGCCCCTGTTGGAAAATTAACACATACTGTGGGCTTACCAACCTGTGGCAGGAGAGGTCCCAACAGTAGTTCATCAGGCTCAACACCAGGGGGCGCCGGGCCACTATCCGTGGAGGTTGCAATTATCATCAATGTGGATGGAGCGATATGGGACATGTTGTGTGTTTCCTGTAGTTCACAGCCAATCAGTACATCTGGTTGCAGCGTTTCCATCTTATCTGGAGGCAAATCAGCGGAGCACAGGGTTTGAGCCCCTCCCACCTGGGAGTCATTACCAATGGCTTGGACTTTTGTGACTTCTGTTGAAGATTGAAAAGTTGCATCTGCATGTTTTTCATTTCAGCAAGCTGCATATAGCTGGGTCTGCGTTTCATATTTCCACTGGCAAAATAGCATTTGCATTTGAAGTTGAAAGTCATTTTTCATCTGTAGAATGAGAGAAGTCAAATGATTATTTTGCTCTAAAGCCATTGCATAAAGTAACAGGTAGTTCAATTTGTTAAAAAAAATTATGGTAGCTGATTAGGAAACCCCTACACATACTATAGTATAATGTTTAGAATTACCACAAATAGCATTAAAATACACGTACTATAGTATAATGTTTAGAATGACCTGAAATAGTTTTAAAATACACATGTTATAGTATGTTTATCATCCAAGGTACGCTTACAAACAAGATTGTCGTCGACATAGATGAGGGTACCTCGCTCTCGAGCATCAGGGCAGGCTTTGTCCAAGATGTTGAACTCAGCTGGTGAGTTTGAATAACCAAAAGGACACCGAGTTAAGGTGTACTGGCAGTTGGCAAAGGAGAAGGCTAGTTTGTGTTGGTCCGATTTATGGACAGGAATTGTCCAGAATCCAGACGCAATGTCAAGGGTGGAGAAGTATTTAACGTATTTCACTTTTGGCAGTTCTTGTTCCAGGCGCGCCATCGGGTACCTAGACAAGGGAACCTGTTTGTTGAGTTGCCTGTAGTCAATGATTAGTCGCCACTTACCATTAGGCTTCTTTACTGGCCACAATGGAGCCGAGTAGGTGCTGTTGCAGGGTCGGATGACCCCTTTAGCCAAGAGGCTTTCAATGATTTCCTGGACTGGTCCGTTGGATGCCAGGGGAATCTTGTATGGATGCACAAAAGTCGGCGCAGCATGTGGCAGTGTAGGAATCCTGACCTCATGGATAGTGGTTAGACCACAGTCCAAGGAGTCGAGTGAAAGAAAATCTTTGTATTTTAACAAAAGTTGTCATAGTTTGTCTCGCTCAACGTCATTGGTAAGAGCATCTGCTTGGTCCACGACCTGTTCAATCTGACAGAAAACATCGGAGGGAGTCTCTGATGGCTTTGAGCTCAGCAGTGAGCATGAGGTTCCCCCATGCTCAGAATCACCTACCGCAAGGCAGCGTGAGTCGGGGAACTAAGGTGGAGTGAACGGCAGAGGTTTTCTAACACCTACCTTCTGTCCCCCTTCTCCAATATCGATAAAAGCATCAAAGCCCTTCAAAACATCGATGTCAATGAGCAAAGGCATGGTTCCACTCTCACAGATGTACACGGGGTGTGTCAAGCTCATGGGACCGATCGTGAATTGGAGCAGAGTCTTAGAAGAGCACTGTAGAATCAGAGAAAACACAGATAGTTAATGCACAGGGAATCAGTTCTGGAGGACGTACGCCTCCCCCTACATCCAAGCAGACGCAGTCGAAAAGAGACTTGCTCATGATTGTAAAATTTGAACCCGTATCTAAAAGTGCATTGCAGGGATGCCCCTGTTGCAATATGACAGATTCTGTGGGCTTACCACCCTGTGGCAGGAGAGGTCCCAACAGTAGTTCGTCAGGCTCGACACCAGGGGGCGCCGGGCCACTATCCCTGGAGGTTGCACTTATCAATGTGGATGGAGCAATATGGGACACGTTGTGTTTCCTGTAGTTCAAAGCCAATCAGTACATCCGGTTGCAGCGTTTCCATCTTATCTGGAGGCAAATCAGCGGAGCACAGGGTTTGAGCCCCTCCCACCTGGGAGTCATCTCCAATGGCTTGGACTTTTGTGACTTCCTGTTAAAGATTGAAAAGTTGCATCAACATGTTTTTCATTTCAGCAAGCTGCATATAGCTGGGGCTGCGTTTCATATTTCCACTGGCAAAATAGCATTTGCATTTGAAGTTGAAATTCATTGTTCATCTGTAGAATGAGAGAAGTCAAATGATTATTTTGCTCTAAAGCCATTGCATAGAAGTAACAGGTCCTTTAATTTGTTAAAAAAAATGATGGTAGCTGATTAGGAAACCCCTACACATACTATAGCAGGGGTATACAAATACTATTTAAAAAGGTCCAGTCAGAAAGAATTTTTTTAGCCCAAGGTCCGAAAGATCATTATGTCCGACCTACAATAGTGTGACATGTATTTAAGTATCCTAGCAGTTTTATCAACATCTGCATTATTAATTTGCATATCAAATCAGAAATACTTCAGTGTATTTCAAATACTTATGACATTTATTGTCACTTAAAGTGTTGAACATGTAAATGATTTATTTGGAATGTTCTCTCATTTACTAAATAAAAGTAGAAAAAAGTGTCAACAAGAAAATAACACATGGCAACTGAATCTTCACAAACTACTAACTTCAGAATAAATGTAGAAAAAGATTAATTTTTTACATTTTTCCTCTTCACGTGCGAACTAAAAAGTCTTAAAATGATTTTAAAAAATGTGACTCTGCACACATGTAATAACTGAACATATAATTAGGTTAATGTTTTCCACATTTTTACTTAGTGAGAGAAGTGAGCTCTTGCTTGTCCTGCCAACATTTTGAACCTGGGCTTGAATGGAGACAGAGCCATCCTCATGCATGTGTGGAGATGCTCATTGGTGAGCCTGGAACGATATTTGTTTTTTATAATGTTCATTGTGGAGAACGCTGCCTCACAGTTGTGGGTGGAACCAAACATGGTCAGGATGTACAAGGCTACTTTCTTTAGATGTGAGAAAGCTGTCTCAGGAACCATTTGGAGCCAGAATGAGGACGGGTCAGTCCTGGCAGACAGTTCTTTCATGGCCACGTTTGCTTGGAGGTCAACTAACTCCATCTGAAGATCCCTGGCATTGACCCATTTAAAATGCTGTGTGGCTTCCTTTGAGAAGCTCCTGACATCTGTGATGAGGAATGGGTTCTGAATGAACATGGTGAGCTGCTGGCCAATGCTGAAGCTATCAAAACGATTGCTGAAGTTAGCAATAAGTTTATCAATGAAGACAACAAACGACGAGACATCTCGCTGTCCCTGAACCTGTTCCTGCACTGCTGGGAAGTGGACACAGTCTTCCTGCAAGTCCTCCTTGAACATTTCAAGTTTTCTCTGAAAGGCACGGACAGCTGTCATTAGTTCACAAATGGAATTGTCCTTGCCCTGTAGCCTCAAGTTCAGTTCGTTTAGATGTGAAGTTATATCAACCAAAAAGGCAACATTGTCCATCTGCTTCTCATTTTCTAGAAATGTAGAAAACTGTGTTGCCTTATGATGTTTTAGCTCTGCCAAAAAAGATGCTACTTCCCTCCTGATGGCCCAAAAGCGTGCTAAAACTCTGCCTTTGCTGAGCCATCTCACATTGTTGTGCAGCAGAAGATCATCAGCATTGGCATCAACTTCTTTGAGGAATTCTCTAAGCATGCGATGCTGGTAGGAAGAGGACGCTCTAAGAAAGTTGATCATTTTCATCACTGAAGTCATCACCTCAGCATGCTCATCTGACAGGGAGGCACAGAGGACAGATTGATGAATAATGCAATGGTAGGTTAAGAGGTCAGGGTTGTCTTTCTTCATTCTTGTTACAGCTCCCTTTTCTCTCCCTATCATAGCAGGGGCTCCATCTGTAGTTATTGAAATCACTTTTGAAGGCTCAATTCCTCTCTTTGCCAACATCTCCATAATGGCCAGGTAGATGTCCTCTCCTGTTGTGCTGGTCTGAAGAGGAGTAATACCCAGCAGGTCTTCATAGAATGCTTTCTGCTCTGCGTAATAAAACCTCACATAAACCAACAGCTGAGCATTATCACACACGTCAGTGGACTCATCCACAGCCAAACCTACACATGGTGCCTTCTGTATGGCTTCATCTAGCTGGGCTACAACATCCTGAGTCAGTATTTCACTTTTCTTTGTAGCAGATGATGCTGATATGGGGATTTGCTTTATTTTTTCACAAACTTCTTGTTTTTCTTTTCCTTCAAACAGTGTTTCAGCAACTGCTGTCATACACTCTTTGACAACCTCTCCATCAGTAAATGGTTTTTTGTGCTGACCCAAAATCCAAGAAACTCTGAGGGAACTCTCATGGGCTCGTTGCTGAGCAGTGAACGTGTGGCTCAGGATCCTGGTGGACTGTTCATATTGGGCTTTGAGACTACGTATTTTCTCTGATCTTACTTCTGATCTGAGGGGATATGTTTCTTCAAAACATTTGTGTTTTGTCTCATAATGGCGTTTCACATTGCCACTTTTAATAAGTGCCACTGTTTCTGAACATATGAGACAAACAGGTTTTGTGCCACCAGTGGGAAGAACAAAGAGAAATGACTCTGTCCATTCTGGATTAAATGCTCTATTTTCGCTGTCCACTTTCCGTTTTTTAGAGGCTGCCATTTCTGCTTTCTCTACTTCTCTCCGTCTCACCCGCCTGAATCTCTCCTTGTCGCCTGTCGCCGCTTTCCTTTTCTCTGCCTGAATTCCTCCTCCTTTACACCTGAATCTCTCCTTGTCGCTGCTCTTAGCCTGAATGTCTCCTTCTTTCCACCGCTCTCCGCCTGAATCTCTCGTTTTCTCTGTTCAAATTTCTGCTCTTCGCTGCTCTCCTTCTCTCCGGCGTCTGAACCGTTTATTTTCGCTACGTATCGCCTGTATTTTCTGGCAGGAATAAAACATGTTATTGGCTTGTTGGTGTCACGTGGTCTGACTAAACTCGCACACAATTGGCCTGTGGGTGTTCGTGGATGCTAGAATACTACCGTAAAGAATGCAATAGCTGCACCGGCCAGAAGCGGTTATAAAATTAGGCGAACTTTATTTTGGCATTAGGCTCGGGTCCACACCAGACAGCATTTCGGTCCGGATCCGGACCCAGGTCCGCCTATTAGTGATCTCTGTACTATAGTATGTTTAGAATTACCACAAATAGCATTAAAATACACGTACTATAGTATATTGTTTAGAATGACCTGAGAAAGTATTGAAATACACATAAAGTATAATGTTTAGAATGACCTGAAAAAGTATTAAAATACACACACTATAGTATATAGTTTCGTATTACCTGAAATAGCATTAAAATACACATACTGTAGTATAATGTTCAGAATGACCTCACATAGTACTAAAATACACACACTATAGTATATTGTTTAGAATTACCTGAAATAGCATTAAAATAAACACACTATAGTATATTGTTTAGAATTACCTGAAATAGCGTTAAAATACACATACTATAGTATGTGTAAAATGACCAGATATAGTATTAAAATACACATACTTTAGTACAATGTTTAGAATGACCTGAAATTCTTTTCTTCCGGCTCTTGGAGGGTGCAGACGCTTTTCTTCTCCTCTCCTCCATGTTTTATCCTCAAGGCCTTTGTCTGTGTGCGCTGGGTGCACGGCTGCTTCTGCATTTTTTCTGGAAACTGAAATTCACTTAAACGGATCTCTGCAATTGGTCACTCAACGCGGTTGATGAAATTTTTTCAACGATGAGAACGGGAGAAGGGGCTCTCGGATGCCCCTCCGGGACAGACCAGCTGTCTGTGGAGGACTCTGAAGATGTGTGGATATCCGTGGTGTTGGTGTCGGGTTTCCTGCCGATCGGCCTTGGGGGCTTCCTGTCTTCCCGGAAAATTAACGAGCTGTAGAGGAATATTGGCCTGATCCCCGAACTCAGAGATGGCTTGCACCGCACTGTGAATTCACAGACTCATGTAATTGTCGAGATGAATCATAAGCTTGGAACTTTGGCCAAGATTCATTCATTGGCACAGAAGATGGATGCCATGAAGGATAGAGTGAACGAACCAGCACGGATTGGGATAGTTTAATATCCATTATTGGGACTCTGAGAGGTTGAGGACCAACAAACTGTAAGACAGAGAGGAAATAATCTCTGTTTGGCCCCAAAACAATTTCTAATCAGAATCTGGCGTTCTTGCGTCTGCAAGGCTACAACAAAAACTCCCCCCTCAGAAGATATGTGGAATGTGCCGTCGCTATGGCAACTCAACTCTGTCTCCTATCCCAGTATACGATAGTATGCTTAGAATGACCTGAAAAAGTATTCAAATACACATACTATATTATAATGTTTAGAATGACCACAAATAGTTTTAAAATACACATACTAGAGTAAAACGTTTAGAATGACCAGAAAGTTTTAAAATACACATACTATAGTATAATGTTTAGAATGACCTGAAATGGTTTCAAAATACATATATTATAGTATAATGTTTAGAATTACCTCACATAGTATTATAATACACATACTATAGTATAATGTTTAGAATGACCTGATATAGTTTTAAAATACACGTACTATAGTATAATGTTTAGACTGACCTGAAATAGTTTTAAAATACAGATGTTATAGTATGTTTATCATCCAAGGTATGCTTACAAACAAGATTGTCGTCGACATAGATGAGGGTACCTCGCTCTCGAGCATCAGGGCAGGTTTTGTCCAAGATGTTGAACTCAGCTGGTGAGTTGGAATAACCAAAAGGACACAGATTTAAGGTGTACTGGCAGTTGGCAAAGGAGAAGGCTAGTTTGTGTTGGTCCAATTTATGGACAGGAATTGTCCAGAATCCAGACGCAATGACAAGGGAACCCGTTTGTTGAGTTGCCTGTAGTCAATGGTTAGTCGTCACTTACCATTAGTCTTCTTTACTGGCCACAATGGAGCCGAGTAGGTGCTGTTGCAGGGTCGGATGACCCCTTTAGCCAAGAGGCTTTCAATGATTTCCTGATGACCAGAAAAAGCATTAAAATACACCTACTATAGCATAATGTTTAGAATGACCTGAAATAGTTTTAAAATACAAATACTATAGTAAAATGTTTAGAATGACCTGAAATAGTATTAAAATGCACATACTAGGGGTGTCACAGTAACCGGTGTAGTGGTAAACCCCGGTAAAAAAAAGTGGACAATAAAAATAACCATGTTTTTTTTTTTAAATATATATTATCCCGGTGGATTACCGTGGCTGCGGTGTAGGCGCGGTGACCCTTACCAGCCACCGTATCATCTGCTGAAGTTGCCGGCGGCACATACACACTTTGTTGTTTACAGCCAAAACTTTCTTGAAGCTAAAGCTGAAATAATGGCCAAAGTAGGAGACGGCAGGGCTCAGGACATTTATTATCCTTCAAAGAAGACAAAGTGGGAAGTATGGAAATTTTTTGGATATTTGAAGAATGCAGAGGGACAGTTGATAGAAGACGGCTATCCTGTTTTCAGCACGTGCAGGAAAAAGTGTCTGTGAAAGGCAGCAAAGCTTCAAATCTCATGACACATCTGCGTGACCATCACCCACAACTCTACAGTCAACGCAAGGCAAGTTAATGTTAGCGTTTTAGCTAAAATGCGTGATCCGAGGATTTGGGTTGGGGGAGAATGCAACGATTCGCTATATAAAGCAGCCGCAGCACCGCTACCTTCATTTAAACTGTGTCGTGGACACCCCCATATTGAAATGACGCTATGCATTACGGGGCTCCCAGGGGCAGATAAGAGTTGGTTTCTGAGAATAATTTTGAATTTAACAATGATTACTGCCTGATGACATTTTCCCAAATCTGCAAAGCTCACTGGAAGGGCACAAACCGAGGACAATATTTTCCTGATATAGGGTTTATTACTCAAGTAAGGGTAAAAAAAAGTATCTGATTAGAAGGCTACTTGAGTACTGAGTATCATCTGATCTAATATTTTTAAAATGATGACATCAAAAAGACAAAAAATAAGAAGTTATGGGCAAATATTGCTATTTTAAAGACTAAAGGGGAAAAATATAAACAAATAAATAACATAAATACAAAATAACAAATTTTTGGCAAAATTTAGACAACCTGAGGGCAATATTTTCCTGATATACAGGGTTTATGTAGTTGTCTGAAAATGTAACACGTTTAAAAAAAATACTGCGATAATACCGAAAATCATGATAATTTTGGTCACATTAACTGTGAGGTTAAATTTTCACACAGTGACAACAGTAATATATACTATAGCATAATGTTTAGAATGACCAGAAAAAGCAATAAAATACACATACTATAGAATAATGTTTAGAATGACCTGGAATAGTTTTAAAATACACATACTATAGTATAATGTTTAGATTGACTTGAAATAGTATTAAAATACACATACTATAGTGTAATGTTTATAATAAACTGAAATAGTTTTAAAATACACATACCGTATTTTAACGACCATAGAGAGCACTGTGTTATAGGGCGCAGCTTCAGTTATGGGTGTCTTTTGGTATTTAACTCATTCACTGCCAGCCGTTTCCTGATCACTAACGGCCTTCGCTGCCAGCGTTTCTCACCGTTTTTACTGTTTTTTAAGAGTCACAGAACTTTGCGCGCTAGCATGATGTCGATGCCAAAACAACCAAAACAAAGAGGAGACTCACCTCTTACATCAGGAAGAAGCCGCGTGTTTCGAGCGTTATCCGTTCTTTCATAATCCGTTGTCGAATTGTTATCGGCAGACGCTTTTCCGGTTCGCGCCTCACTTTTTTCACAGGAACGGCCCAAAACGATCTCCTAACACATGGATGTGTTGCTTCCTGATCATGTGATCTGTGACGTATGCGGATGAAGATCGGCATCAGGGCTGAGATGTTTGTTCTCTCAGCGCGGGGGCTCATTCCGATGCTCAGTAAAAAAAATGCAAATGACGAATTAAGTCGTCAATGGCAGTGAACGGTTGGATCTAAAATGACGACTTTAGTCGTCAATGGCAGTGAATGAGTTAACACATTCAAAAGGTGCACCGGGTTTTAGGGCGCGGGCGGGGGCACGGTAAAACATCTGTGCGGGCTCGGGACTCGGAACATATCAGTGCAAACCAGACATTGTGAAAATTATAAACAGCCAAAAGCATGCTTCACTTTACTGGTCTAGTCCTGGTTCAGACCTGGTTTAGAGCGCACGTGTACTTCCTCATTGCGTGCACTGACGGCTTGTGCTCTTCTAATGGGCTCGACAGATGAGAGGCAACTTCGCCTCTCCTCCATTCATTTTCAATGAGACATGAGCGACAAAGCGATAATCGCGGGTCTCCCTCCTACTAAAGCCGAGCGTACACCGGGAGTGATGCAAGAGGACACACACGGATTTATGGGGGTTGGATGAGGAAAACGAAATAAAGAAAGTAAATCTGTGATTTGTGATCAGTTTAATTTGACATGAACACGACAAGCACACTTTCTTGACAATCTTTGTGAGTAAAAAAAAAGTGTAGAAATAAAAACGAACAGTGTGTGTTATTAGGGAAATAGCGGGCAAGCACTGTTGATGCATGATTGCGCATGAGCGGTGAGCGGTTCTGGTACTTTTTGGGTCGCAGCTGCTAGCAGCGCCGCTTCAAGCGCTGTGTTGAAGTTCAGAATGTGTTTACCGGTAGTTGGTGGATTTAACCCAATAAACTTTCCACATGAACAAAATCATATGTGTTACTAATAGGCCTAAGAAAATAGTGTGATTTGAATTATGTTTTATTAAACCTCTGGGGTCCATGGCCGC